ATTTGAAATTGAATAAAAAGAAAAAAACTTAAAATTGTCTATTCTCAAATTTGTAAAAGTATTTATCGTTGTACTCAACATTGACAGTTGCCGTTTGACATTAGAAAACTGACAATTCGCATTATGCACGCAAAATTGAATAACTGAATAAATTGTTGTGTTTTGACACATATATACAGAAGATCGCCGGCCCAATAAAAGATTGCCAAGTCTATCAACAAGTACCGTTTCGATCGAAAAACCATTGGAAAAAATACCACAAAGTGACATCCGACAGAATAGGTAAAGTTATTTTCAAAATTCACTACTTCTCTCTTTACATAAATTTATGGCTTTAAATTCCGCGCACTTCTTGTCTTATGCACCCTCACTAGCCCTTCATGTTACAAATTGTAAGTAGTCTTTCGTAGTCTTGTGATCATTATTAATTTTGAAAAACTCAGTTTAGTTTAGTTGTTATAGTGAGCGAAAAACTCTCGATTTGAAAAAGAAAATTGTTTGAAATAACAAAAGATTCTATTCCGCTTAAATTTATAAATATTAAAAAAGCTCTTTTTTTGTATGAAGTTTACACTGTGTACAGTTGATTTGATCATAAAATTATCCATTTTCAATACTTTTCGATAAATCTTTTTCAAAAGAATTACTTTATTCTGGACAAAGCACGACGATAATGACAGCTCGGCAACGCTCTATTAGAGATTAGTACCGCTGGCAACCGCAGAACTATATAGAATCATATGGAGTCATTTGGTGGCGCTGGCAAGCAATTTTGCCTTATCGTCATGCTTTGATTCTGGACCTTTTCGCCAAATGTTCCATTCCAATTTGTCTGTTTAATTTTTTTTATACATTTCTCTATTTCTTTTCTTTTATCAGATTGCTTCCAACTGAAATCATTCGAAAATCGTGTGTTGTTAAATCTTGTCATAGCGCCTTTTAGTATGTCAAATACCGTTAACAAATACGCGAGTAAAGTTTACTCAAAAATTGGCGAAGAACTCTATTTGACCGATGAATTGGCCGATGTTCGCTTTGTTTTTAAGATGGCCGATGGACAATATGAACGCATCCCGGCACATAAACTACTATTGAAAAGCGTCAGCGATGTATTCCGCACAATGTTCAATGAAACATGGAAAGAAAAGGAGGAAGTTGACATAATTGATGCTTCTGCCGTCGAATTTAAAGAATTTTTACAATTTTTCTATTTGGAACAATTGAAATTGACCACAAAAAATGTTGCCAAAGTCATGTATCTTGGTGATAAATACAATGTGGCTGGCTGCTTGGACATATGCGAACAATTTTTGATCAATTCACTGAGCGACGACAACCTTTTCCAGAATTATGAGCTCAGCATTTTTTTCAATCAAAACAAATTGAAGAAATATTGCGAAACTGTAATCGCTTTCGATACAAAAAACGTGTTGGTATCGGGAAATTTTATGGAGTGCGACCGTAAGGTGCTTAGTCACATTTTAAACATAGACTCATTGTCATGTTCTGAAAGCAAATTGTTCGAGGCATGTATGGGATGGACAAAAAATGCAGCAAATGCAGACAATTTAACGCGGGAAGCTGTTAAACGACAACTTGGCAATTTGTTTTACGAAATTCGTTTTAAATCTATGAGTTCACTGCAGTTTGCTAATATCACTTCATTATATGGTAATTTATTCTCATCGGACGAATACAGAGAAATTGTTCAATCAACTGCAATGCCAGACTTCGAGCCAAACATGTTCAGCAATAAATTCAGAACACCACTTGAAAATCTTCAGTGGAATGAAAGGGAAGAGATTAATTGTAATCGTTTATTGTCATTAGGATTTGCAGATAATCCACATTATATCAAAAGTATTGAAAATACCATATTTTCCGTCAATCAACCGATGATTTTGGGGCAAATTGAATGTAGCAAAATATTTGAATATAAGTTAAATGAATACTTCAATATGAAGGAACTGTCAACTGAAATAAAAATCGTTCAAGTCAATGAATCGATATCATCAGATAAGAAGTGGTGCCATAAAGTAAACGAATGTCTTCTCTATAATGGAGAAACTTATTTCAAATCTAAAGAGCGTACATACATAAATTTGCCGAAGCCAATCCTTGTCAGACCTGGTCTTATCTATAATATTCAACTAAAACAAACACCACCATCAAGCTGTTGCACGGGCTGCTTACTAAAGACAGAAGTTCAAATCGACCCGGACATCACTGTACAGTTTCATCAGGATCCCATTGATGGGTACTCTACTAGGGGCAATTCACTTAAAAATTGCCTTTCTATTATTTAATAATTGTTATTGATTCTTTTTCGATTATTTTAAAATAATTCTATTCTTTTCTTTTGTGATTCTCCCCTAGGTACTCTAATCGAAGAGGAACTATTTTGGGGCTTCAATTCTATCGAATTTAAGTGTGATTTTTCATATGGGAACATCGATCGAGATATCTTCGTCAACATCTTTACACTCACAATAAAATAATAACCTATTTACCTCATCAGTCATTTCAATACAAATAAATGACACCTGTATAAAGCAGAGATCATATATACAATGTTCACGTTTTTACCTCTGCCAATAACCGTCTTTATCATTTTTTTTTATAAATAACATTTTGTCCAAAATTTGAAATTGAATAAAAAGAAAAAAACTTAAAATTGTCTATTCTCAAATTTGTAAAAGTATTTATCGTTGTACTCAACATTGACAGTTGCCGTTTGACATTAGAAAACTGACAATTCGCATTATGCACGCAAAATTGAATAACTGAATAAATTGTTGTGTTTTGACACATATATACAGAAGATCGCCGGCCCAATAAAAGATTGCCAAGTCTATCAACAAGTACCGTTTCGATCGAAAAACCATTGGAAAAAATACCACAAAGTGACATCCGACAGAATAGGTAAAGTTATTTTCAAAATTCACTACTTCTCTCTTTACATAAATTTATGGCTTTAAATTCCGCGCACTTCTTGTCTTATGCACCCTCACTAGCCCTTCATGTTACAAATTGTAAGTAGTCTTTCGTAGTCTTGTGATCATTATTAATTTTGAAAAACTCAGTTTAGTTTAGTTGTTATAGTGAGCGAAAAACTCTCGATTTGAAAAAGAAAATTGTTTGAAATAACAAAAGATTCTATTCCGCTTAAATTTATAAATATTAAAAAAGCTCTTTTTTTGTATGAAGTTTACACTGTGTACAGTTGATTTGATCATAAAATTATCCATTTTCAATACTTTTCGATAAATCTTTTTCAAAAGAATTACTTTATTCTGGACAAAGCACGACGATAATGACAGCTCGGCAACGCTCTATTAGAGATTAGTACCGCTGGCAACCGCAGAACTATATAGAATCATATGGAGTCATTTGGTGGCGCTGGCAAGCAATTTTGCCTTATCGTCATGCTTTGATTCTGGACCTTTTCGCCAAATGTTCCATTCCAATTTGTCTGTTTAATTTTTTTTATACATTTCTCTATTTCTTTTCTTTTATCAGATTGCTTCCAACTGAAATCATTC